GAATGGACTCCAGGCAGTGGGTGTGGTTTGGGCTTTGCTTCTGTGAAGACTGACAGCCTTGGAGACCCTGTGGGCAGTTCCACTCTGTCCTCTAGGGGCACTGTGGGTCGGAATGGACTCCACGGCAGTGGGTGTGGTTTTGGTACCAGAAGGGGAGCTGGTCCCACCCTTCGTCTTACAGACAAGGGCTGTGAATCTCAGGGAGCTGAGAAGACACTAGTCACAGAAAGAGGCAGGTGCAAGAAACGGGGAACCTGGGTGTGGGGGAGAGAGGGGCAGGAGGAAGAGGGCAGGAGTGGGGGAGATCAGACACAGAGTGATTGAGAGACAAGATGGACGAGTGAGAGATAACAAAGCGGAGACGTGGAACGAGAGCAGGTCAAGAGGGAGGGGAAGCCAAGAAAGGAGCATCTAAGTGCCTCCACGAACAACTGCCCCCTTGGCCAGGGACACAGAGGAGCCGGGTGGTGCCCGCCTCCCATTACTGAGCATGCTCCTCAGAGACTCCAGAGAGGAGTGCCAACCTGGCTCGCCTTTCCGTCACAGCTAGGCAGGGTGAACGGCCACGCCAGGGAGGTCTGCCCTCACTGAACAATCAACCACACACGATAGAAAAGCAGCATGTGCCCAGAGATAAAGCTCAGGAGGCAGGAAGTGATAGGAAAGAAGGAGAAAGAGAACTGGTAAACATGGAGAGGAAATGGGAAGAGAGATGTTACATTGCGGAGAGTGTATTCAATGTCACAAAACAAAGCATGGAGGAATTGTTGAGTGGAGAACTAAGCTGCTCTGTAAACTTTCACCCAAATCATGATTGGGAGAAAAAAAGAAAAAGAAGAAGAAGAAAGATTCTGATCAAAAGGGGGAAAATACAGAACAGAACTTCACATTCCATTCAAATGGACTGTTTATGCAGCCATGGAGGCTGGAAGAACTATCACCCTGAGATAATCTCTAACCCTTAAACTAAAAGTATCCCTTGAAGCCTTAACTAAGCTTCACTAGTAAAGAATGCCTGCTTTGAGCACTAACTCCTTTAAGAACTATCTGTAGGAGATCAAACTGACAACAGCAACTCGAAAGATTATATAGGAACCTTGGGGGGCAGTGGGTTGATGTTCATGGGAGAAGGAGAATTTGGAAAAGGAGGGGGAGCGTGGTCACAATGTCACTGAATTGTAGGTGCAGACACTGTTGAACGCATGTGTGTTCCACGGTGTGTATTCTCAACAACAGCGGAATAAAATCAAAGACTGAAAAGGAGAGAGAAAGACAAAAGGACTGAAGTGTCAGCTGAGCACTATGCCCTTGGAAAGGTCTGCCCCCCTGGGGTCAAGGCGACAGCAGTCCTGGAAGAATGTGGTCAATGCCACTGAGCGGCAGACAGACACTGTGCGTGGATATGGTTGAGTGCGTCCACCAGGA